AGGCTCCCAGATGGGTCAAGGTTAGTCCAGGAAGAAAAGAGATTCCTTACTGTGCTGAATTCCTGACCTAAATTTCCCATTAACATTAAACTCAGAAACCGCCGCCTCCCAGGTTCCCAGCCCAGCCCTGCTGGTGCTGCCCTGCAAATACCACTAGCCCTAGTCTTATGATGTGACCTGCCCCCAGCCTCTCATCCCTGCTGATCTCAGTGTGGATAGATTTTCCCTTTTCCTCATGGCCTTCCCAAGCAAGGTTCAGACATTCTGAGAGCGACTTTTATTCAAAAACAAAGGGCAGATAAATACAAAACCTGCAATGGACAAGCGCACCAAACAGGTCTGTTGCGTGATAAAAGTATCCCACTAGATTTCACTAGAACACGTTCCTTGGAGATAGGTGTTTTGATTTTTGCCTACTGCTGCCTCCCTGGTGACTAGAATTGTGCCTGGCACATAATAGATGCTATGTAGATCTTTGTTGAACGAACAAATGGACGAAAGGATGAATGGGTCAAGTGAATGTCCTGCCTGGTGTTCTCCTCTTCCCCAAAGCTCATCTTTCTCACTTTCAGCTCTACACAGCAGTGACCAAATGAAAAGCCACACAAGACTCCCTGCTGTCCTCAGCAGCAAGCCTCACCACGATTCCCTTCCTGTCCAGAATTGCCTCTCCATCCTTGTATTCTGCACTACACCCCCCACCCTGCCAGCCACACACACACACCAGATCGTGCTGCCCTTCTTGCTGCCAATGGCAGATACCTGGCTAAGCACCCTGTGTGAGTGGTCGCATTGGACCCTCATGGTGCTGCACACAGGTACTAACATCCATCTCGGAGATGAGGAAACAGCTGGCACGTACAAGACCAGGACCCAGACCCTTAACTATCTGTTTCCAAAACCATGCTCTCTACCACTGAGAGAGATGGTGGACCTCTGACACCCACCTGGCTGCCTCCTAAGGTCTTCGTGAGTCACCATATTCAAAAATATCAATGACATTAAATTTAAATTTGCCCCAAAGGTGTTCATTTGGTAAGTGCTGAGCACCGACTATGTGTTCAGATCTTTTCCTGGGAGTTGGTGCAGTCCTTGGAGTAGACATTAACTGGGCCTGGGGTCTGTGGTCCTGATTAAGCCCTGGGTTCCATGCATCTAATAATCTAAAGAAACCTTCTCTCCTTTGGTTTTCCTGGACCCTATCTCAGGTAGCCTACAATTCCCAGCTTTCTTGCAAAGCTTACCTGCCCTTTAGGCAGGTTCCACACTCTAAAAATAATCAAGTACAGGTTACCTTCCTTGTTTCCTGAAGAGCTCTTGCATGAGAGATTGCTCAGGGGTCCCCCATGGAGGAGATGTTCTAGAGCCCTAATGCTACACTCTTGCAACGTCAAAAACACTTTACACCCCTCAACAGTGACAAACACCATCTCCACCAAGCACAGCAGTATGGTTTCCTGACAAAAGTGCCCAGCAGGCAAGAGCAGAGAACAAATTCTTCCACCTGGGAGGGAAAAATGATTCAACCTGGAAAGTTCCTAGGTGATTACTGCTCCAGCTCCCACTTTAGAAACAAGAGTAACTAAGACCTGTCAGAGAAAGTTAGAGACTTGTCCTCCTGCCAAAGAGATGGAGCCCAGGATGGGGACCCAGCTTTGCAGGTCCCTAGTCAAGGATTCCTTCCCTCACTACTGTGTGTCTAAAGTGACAGTCAGATCTGCATGGGTACCAGGGGCAGAGCAAGATGAGGCAAGGTCTCATCATATTAATTAATATCCTATCAGCACCCAGGGTTGTCCTAGCCCAGGGAAATTTCGAGAAAGTTATTTCCATACATCCCCAGAGTTAGCCTGCTTTGGACCTATGTGATCTGTGAAGGCTGGGAGTGAAGGCCTCATGCAGCCTGAAGCCACAGGGTGATCCTTCCCTAAGGTCTGGCCAGTGGGGAGGGAGTCCAGGTTATCAGCAGGAGCCCAAGGTCTTGAGCATCAAGATCCAGAGATTCAACCTGCATCTAAGACCAGGAGACTGACAACACCAGGCGGGTACCTTCCCTCCTCCTCTCCGAACCCCTCCACAAGCTGAACCAGCTGTCTCCTTCTTGACCAGGCTAGGAGAGTCTCTCTTTTAACACTGAAAGAACACTTCTTGATAACTGAGCATACCTGTCCTTGGGTCCTCCATCCTCCTGCTATGATGGGATGCTGCTGCTCTTGCCAACATACCTGCACTTCTATCACTTCCTGTTTGCCAGTTATCTTCTAAGACCCAATCAAACCTGCCCTCCTTCCTTGTCCCTACCGGAAGTCTGTCTCACAGCCCCCACCTCCTCCCCACACCAAGTGCCGCCACCACGTGAGGAGCCCATGGATTTTGGGGATATGTGTACATAACTTTCCCTAGCACAGTGGCTGGCACACAGACGGCTCAAAATTTGTATGTCATGTCACAGAGAAAAAAAGTACATCTAAGAGAGACTGAGTTGCTTCTCCAAGGTCTCACAGCCAGGCAGTGCTAGAGGCAGCTCCAGAACCCATTAAAATGTGACCTATCTTCTTACCCTGACCCATACCACCTGTTACCACCTGAATCAAGCCAGAGGCCACAAGCTCAGGGACAGTGATTTTTATAATTCTTATGTGTACTGCAAGCACAGAAGAGTGTAAGGAAAAAAAATGTGTATATATATATATATATACATATGTATATGTATATATATTTATGAACAACAATCATCTATACCTCAACCACCAGATCAAAGACATCAAACATTACCTACCCATGCCTTGAAATCTCCCTCTGCCACTCTCCTACACACACACACACACACACAAACACAGCTGCAACATCCTCCCCCACCCCATTTCCCCAGAGTTCACTGCTATCCCCACTTTTGTGTTAATCACTGTCTTGCTTTGCCTTCTGTTTGTACCACTTTTGTGTGTCTCCCTAACAATGCACTGCCCTTTGCTTACACAGCTAGGTTTGTGCTCGCTGCTCCATTTTTCAGAACTAAGCAGGATCTATGATCTCCTCAATGCTTAACACCGTGGTGTTCAAGTTTTCCCAGTGCAGTGAACTCTGAGCAGTTGCCTATTAGAAAACCAGGCCACAAAAACATGCAGAGTCCTCCCATCAGATATCACCAGCTCGCTCCTAAAAGCCACTTTATTTTAGGTACTGAATTAATGGTGTACAAATGACATGTACAATAATGTAGAATTAGCATATGTCTTGAATTTCTTTTCAGGAAGGGATTGTGCATGTGTGTGAAAAAGTCAACTGCTCAAGCCCTTTCTGACAGAGCTGTTTCAATCCCAGTAGTCTGACATCTGGGATCCGCCCTCATGTTTGGAGGCAGAAAAGAGCCCCCAGGAGGGTGTGAGAAGAAACAGGATCAGAAGGTCCCCCAGATTCCCTCCTCCTCCTCTCTTCCCCCTGGCCAGCCCTCACCACAGTGGCTTTGGCCCACAGCTGCCCTAGCCCAGGGATGGTGGCAGACAGAAGCAGACCTACTTTGGTTTCCATGGCAACCGCAGGCATCGGGAGGCCGACCGAGTGAGCCGCAGCCAACAAGGCAGCTGGTTTGAAGGGTGTTGATCTCTCTGCGGACCAGAAAGGCAGAACCACCAGGGACCTGTGGCAGCAACCAAGCCAGGAAGAGCCCCAAGAGCTGGGCATTCAGAGTCCACTGGGACCTGTCTGCACATTTCACCCACTCACCCGCCACCTCTTTCATGCACCCACCATGACAGAGGCACACACTGAACAATGCCCATGCACACCTTGCTGTGAACATACGTTCACACCAGACACACCCCAGATTTATGTCTAGACCCATTTTCTCAAGCAAAAATCCAGACCCCTGCAAATAAATGCTCATTCACACTCAGTGAATAATATTACGCCCAGGAAGATCCACATTCGCTAAATGCACACGCTCTGTTAGACACACCCACACACAGAGACACTACACAGGTGGTGCTCGTGACAGACTCGCCCCAACCGCACACAAACCTGTGTTTATCAGAGAAATGCACCTTATTGTCACCTGCGACTCACCGGGACACCCCCAGACACACACACAGATGCAGAACACAGCCTCTGGATGCTAAGGCTCAAAGCTGAGGAGCCTAAGCTTGCAGCAACAGCTCAGGCGCCAGATGGTTGTTCCACTTGGTGCTGCAGCCCAATCACAAAGCCAGCAACAACTTCCCTGGCTTGTTGCCTGTGAACCAGGCCCACCACAGAAGTAGGCCTTTAACTCTCCCTGCTTGTTTACTCAGAAGAGCGTTTTATTTTTTTATTTTTTTATTTTTTTTGGTTTTTCTCCAGTACCGGGAATCGAACTCATGACCTTGCGCTTGCCAGGCAGGTGCTGTGCTGCTGAGCTAAATCCCCAGCCCCTCAGAGGAGCTTTTTGTGTCCTCCATAAATGCTAAAAGGACAAAAGTCCAATAGCTCTATCATGTCATTTGGCCTTGAAATTAAAAATCGTGATGATGGACTCACAGAGCCACCCACTCCTCTTTAAGACACCCAGAGGTGTCCCACACTCCCCAGGCAAGCTCCAGTGTGTCCACTGTCCACTGTCCCTGCAGTGCAAGGACAAGCGGCCTGCTGCTTCCCACCCAGCAAGGAGGGGCCAAAGCACAGAGCATGGCATATCAAGCTAGGCCACAGGTTAGGCCCTGACCAGGCAAGGACATCTGACAGCCACAGGCTCCATCCACAGAGGCTGTACAGAACTAAAGGTCACAGAGCACTTCGGGGATGACATTTCATTCATTTCACTGAGAATCTCTTGAAGTACATCTGAAGATTAATGACATTGTTTCAATATTGTCCTAATTGTAACTTGTTAATTAATGACAGAAATTGAAAGATGAATGTAGTATGCACATGTGTCTCCAGGCCTGTTATGATAATAATGAGAGTTAATACTTTCTGGACACAAAAGGTCAACACATGTCAGCTATTGTTATTTTTTTTTTTTTTTACTTTCACATTAATAATGAAAATAATCTAGAATTTAAAATTAGGAGGCTGTTGAGATGAACATCCTTTATCCCCTAGGGTACAAACCTAAGCGCTTTTCAGCGTAGCAGTATTAGCATTGTGAAGTACTTGACAAAACAATTTCACATAGGCCACTTCATCTGTGCACCTGCCCATCTCCTGTGCGTGGAAAGATGCTAAGGGAGGGGGCCGGACATAGATCAATGGCCGGGCCCTGAAGAGTCACAACCGAGGGAGGAAATCCTGGGGACCACCACTGGAACTGAACACCACCTGCCTGGGGTCATCACACAGGCCACACAGAGGGCACTGAGAACCAGGAAAGCGGTCATTCACCGATGGCGAACAATCAGTCAGTCGACCTGGGAAATCAAAACAAGCTTCAGGTGGGAGTCACATTTGAGCTAGGCCTAAGAGCACAAGTAGGTTTAGCCAAGCTGACTTCAAGGCTGCAAAAGGGCACTGAGGTCGGAGCCACAGGGCAGACCAGAGGGTGGAGGGCTGTGCAGCTGGGGTGGAGGGCAGGGAGAGATGAAGCCAGGAAGGGAGACTGAGGCCAGGTCAGAAAGGCCTTGCACCACAAGCCAAGGAGTTTGGCCCCAGAGATTGGCCAGGTGTGTGAACACCAGGACAACGTCTCGGGTACTCCAGCAACTTCGGGTCCAAACAGAACAGCTAAGATTGTGCCCTCGCAGGAGTGGAGCCAGAGCCCCAGTCTAACCGCTACATCTAGCTGGGGGCCTGACCCACAGGTGGCTCTCCATAAATGTTTCCTGAACTGGATGGCGCTGCGGGACCGCATGAGGAAAATGGAATTAAGAGTCCGGTGACCCTGAGGGCTAGTTCAGGCCCACTATCGACTGGCTGCAGGACCTTGGGCTGGAGATTTAACCTCTCCGGTTCTCGATTTCTACGCTGGTAAAACGAATCCGATAATGCCCTGACCTCCCTCGCTTAGCAGTTGCGAGGCTCACCCGAGGCAGTAGGCTGAAGGCGAGGAAAAGACGCAGGGCACTGGTCCAAGCAGAGAACCGCACGCTTCGCGGGCTCTGACGCCCACGCGTGCGGGGCACTCGCCTCGTTCCCGGACCATGCAAGGAGAGCCGTCTCAACCATCAGCAGTCACCTGCGCTCCAAACCCAACACCTGCCCTCCGTTTCCGCACAGGCAGCAGGTGCAATCCGGCTGCACTGTCCCCGCCCCGAGAGCCGGCGCTAGGACAGCCCCCGTGATGATGTGAGCTGGTGCGCAGCCCGGCCGGGGAGGCTGTGCCCAAGAACGCCAGAGCCCAACACAGCCCTGGGGCTGTAGGAGAGGGCTAGGGGACCAGAAGGCAGACAGGACACTGTTCCCAGCAGTCGGGGCACAAGCGGTGGGCTACGTCGCCCTTCCTGGAACTGCACGGGAAAGCCTGGGGCTTAGGGACTTCAGGCGACTTGCAGATGGACATACATGTTAAAGACAGAGCCAGATGGGAACCCGAGTGTCCTGGACCCCAAGTTCACTTTTTCTTCTGTTTCCTGGAGCTACTGTGGTTCCAAGACCACTTTGGTAATGGGTAAAAAACAATTCTCCCTTCAGGCGTCAACTCTGCCTCCTTCCACCCCAGTGGCCTTGCCACCCACCCCACACAATGCGCGGTTAGTGAGGATCTGAGCCATGCATAAATCAGGATTCAATAATGAAATACACACAGTGAGCACCTTTAAAAATAATTATTTGACCCATTTAGCAACCCGACTCTTCTCACCCTCCCCAGGAAGGATGGCGAGCTGACGCTACGACTCACAGACTTGTAGACTCCCTGCTTGGGAGGGAAGGACCCCCCAAGGAAATCTGGTCTAAATGCCACCTGTGGGTGAGGTTGCTATTTCTTTGCCCAACACTGGTGAGTAGAAAGTTCTTGCTTCTTATTAGCTAATGTCCACATCCTCCTTAAGGACCCTGTTGTCCCTGTTAGAGCCACACTGAGCAAGTCAGATCTCCCTGTCTTTTCGCACCCCAGCCTATGTTAGGAGGCAGCCTGCGCTCTTACGAGGACACCAGTCCCTTCAGTCACTCCTAAGCAGTCCTCCTGTGAGTCCCCGTCTGTCTGTCCAGTTCCATGCTTCCGGGCTCAGCACAGCCCTGAGTTCTCACTCCACGTCAGAGAGTGCACTAAGTGCCACCCCTCATTCCCTCCCTAAGGCCATCTCAAGAAGGTGGAACTACACAGTCCCATTTACACATGAGGAAGCTGGGTAGTGAAGGAAGAGGACAGCCAGGGGCCAGCACCACAGGGAAAAGGGACAGAGAAGCTCTCAAGCCGTAACCCATAACCTGTTACCCCCTGAAACTATGGTATCCGCCTTTCCCTCTTTTGACAATGTATGGTGTTTCTTACCCTACCTTCCAACTCTTCCTTCAGAGCCTAAAGACCTGGTGAAGCACCATGAAATCCAGTCTGCACCCCGAGGACAAACTGACCTCTGATCTGTATCTTACACAAGGAAAAAAAAATCCTTCAAATACCACACAAATGACCAGTGGAAAATTATCAGGCCTAGCTCACTCCAGCAACTGGATAAAAAGTTTGCTCCTTTCTTCATAAGGACAGCCTGATCATTCCCACACCCTCCTCTCGCCCAGGTTCAGCTCTGTGCTCGCTCCTTGTCTGGCTTTTATTTCTATTGTCACCAGGTGAGAAGTTCCCTCTCCAGCCCCAGGAATTTGCAAAGGGTTACACAGCCAGTGGCAGTGTGGGTTTTGTTCCTTTTTGCTGCCCTGCATGGGTGCAGGAGGGCAGTGCATTACTACCCAGCAGCTCTAGCACAGGGACAGGAGCACTATCCCGGGACCCCAAACATCTGGCTTTGCGTCCCATTCTGCCACTTGTTTACTATCTTGTGACCCAGGCAAGCCACCTACCTCAGACTCCCGGCTTGTGCAAGTGGGATAATTATGGTGCTCAACTCCGAAACTGACGTGGAGATTAAGACAGATTTGTCTGTGTGACTTTAGGCTCCCTGGAGGCGTCCCTTGAAACTAGATTCACAGGAACCAAAGCAAGTGAGGGTTTGAACCATACCCTGGGCCTAGGTGTTAGGGCTCCTTCCAGGTTAGGAAGCCAGGTTCAAATCTTCAGGTCTCTCACCCGGCCTGGAGTCACTCTAAAATGATTTGTCAAGTGACAAGCAAAAATATATTACCAATTTAAGAGTGTGATTTGCCTGCAACTTTTTAATCCTCGGGCTGTTGTTGAATAGATTAAAGTGTCTGCTTTGATCCATGCATTTAGATGGAAACATAAATATAGCCATCACTTATTCTCTCAGCCGCCAGGATGGGTGTCATCTTGCGTCACGCTGGCTTCCGACCCAGCCAGGGTAATGCATGAGAATGACCTTTTTGCCATTCAAATCCCTTTTGCATTTCAGCCCTGACTTTTCTGCTCCGGCCTGCTCTCATCAGCTGCTACCTAATTGGACAGCAGCTCACGCTGGGAAATGGTCGCTAGGCAAAGAGTTGGGGGCGGCGAGGTCGCCAGCGGTAGCCTCGGCCTCCCAGTCGCCTGGTGCTGCGAGAGCCCTGCAAGAATAAATCTCTGGAGAAATAGATTTTGAAGAGGAATTTGGTACATAGATCTTCTGTCAGCGGAGCAGACTCCGGCTCAGCCGTTTTTTCAGGCTCGCTGCTTATCCTGAAATATATCTATTTTTACATGGTTCTCTGGCGAGATTTCCTCTTCCCTCTCAGGTGGGAGGCCGCGCAGGGAGTCGCGGGCGGGGAGGCGACCGCTCCAGGCCCTGGGCTTCCCGGGCCTTCCCGGTCCCCAGGCCATCTCCCTCCTCGCAGCCCCAGCCGAGTCAGCACAGCAGCCCTCTGCACTTTCCATATGTCCGAGCCCGAGGTTCCCTGGGGGCTGAACCTGGGCTGGGCTCGGCTGGGCGGTGACCGCCCCAGCCGCCCCAGGTGTCGCGCGCCCTGCGGCTGCAGGCGGCGCCATCCAGAGACTGGCTGCGGGGTCTATGCCGAGTTTGCGGGCGGTGCGCGCCGGGCAGCGCAAACTGTGGCCCAGCACAGTGGCCCGCGGACCACGGGTCGCCCGTGGCTGCCGGGGACTCCACGCTGTGTGCTTTGGCAGGCAGTTAAGCCTCAAACAATGGCTTGCAAAATGTCTGAAGTGGTGGGGAGGCAGATACTCATCCAGGCTTGGATATGTGGAGGGGGCAAAAATGACCATGCGCTGATGGCCCCAGCAGCCCTAGGGACATACGTGTTCGCGGGCTCCCCTAGACCCTTTTGGCAACCTGAACACCCATAGGCCTCCTTTCCCCAAATTCCCTTGAAAAAATAACTGCTTTCACTCCAGTAATATTTGTGCTTTGGAGACTCAGCCCTCCAAGATAATCATGGGGAGAGAAAGTAGCCCCAAGACAGGAATGACCCTAGGATGGCTGATACACTGCCCTGCCCAGCCCTGCCCCTCCTCCCTGGCCCTTCCTCACAGGCTACGGGCCTCCACCTTATAAGGCTTTCTGTGCCCAGCGGCTTAGGAGTCCAGAGCCCCCAGTTCCACTGAAGTGACCAGGCCCCGGCTCCCTACCCTTGACTTCCAGCCACCAGCATACACACCTCTACCTCACAGCGGGTGAGTGGGCCTTCCAGAGATAGCCCTACCACCAGTGTTCATGGATCACTTGCAGCTCCATCCTCAACCGGTCCTCCCTGACACTGACCCTCCATTCCTTCCCACTCTGCTAAGCTCTTCCTCTGCCCGGCTTTTAAACATCCCTTCTTGGGCCGGGGTTTTAGCTCAGTGGCGGAGCACCTGCCTGGCGAGTGTGAGGTTCTAAGTTTGAGTCCCAGTACCCAAAAAATAAAAATTAAAAAAAATAAAATATTTATCCCTTCTGCCCCCCATCACCCCCCACAGGCTGGCACAGCCCTGTAGGCCCTACTGAGCCTCTGTCTTCTCGCTCTAGCTCTTCTTCCTCCTGCCTTGTCTTTGCTCATCCCTCAAGGCTCTTGCCTAATTTTCCTCCTACCCTCTCTCCCCATGCCTTCAACCACGGCTTCCATGTGACTAGCTCACAGATTCCTGTCAACAGGTCTGGCATTTCTGGTTAAGCGTTTTCAATGGCTCCTAAGACCATTTCGGGCTGGCAAGGACTCTGCTGTCACCTTTGAGTCATCCTTCCTGAAACAGATGCATCATCTACTCTCAATAACTAGCTTCTCTTTCTGTCATGACCAATGAGTTTTTATCTGTCATTTCCTAGCCTTGAACCAAACAACTCCTCTTTTCCCCTTGTGCTGCCCTCCCACACACACGACCAAACACCCTGGTCATCAATCAGTCATCAAGCAATCCCGGTTTTCT